ATATATATATATATATATATATATATATATATATATATATATATATATATATATATATATATATATATAGTCGTGCCCCTTGCTGAGGCTGATGTATCCTTGATGCTTCTTCACAGCAGTTGGGCTAAACCAACTTACACTTAAACTAGGTCTTTTTATGCTGGATAAATTTATTTCCACTTTATTTCTTTTGTTGTGCCTACCTGAATAATGTTCTATTAACTGGCCACGTTGCTTACGCTTATTGCGCTTATCTTCGGTAACTTTGTTGCGTTTGTAGCATTTTTAAGTAACTTGTGGACATTTTTTCCTTAGCGCGAATTCATTGCTAACCAACTGACTTCATATGCTAATTTGGCGAGGAGTTATGCCACGGTATCTGTATGCATTATTGGATTTATTTTATTTCATGTTGTCTTTCAAGTGGTTGACTGTTGTTTGATATCTCCGGCTTGGCTGCGCTTGATGTGCATGTTGACAAGGTGCCTACCTGTCTATTACCCACTACATCGTTCATACTGGCTCCAGGAGACAGTTGGTCGTCGGTGGAGGGGACGGGATGCACGGACCTTGTGGTCGTGCTAGTCTCGAAGAGTGGTTCCATGCACTCATTGTGGAGCGGACTACGGTCCAGCCACCGCCTTGTGTGCACTTGATTCCCCAAATACAGCGTGCTTGTGTTTGCCTGTGAAGGAGTGTGGGCCGGCTCCGTTGATGACACGTGGCTCCCCTCCACATGCCTCCCGGTCTTCTTCCTTCGGGTATTCGCTGAATATGGGGTGTGTGGATGGAGCTGTGGGTGGTGCAGCGCAAGCCACCCATGGTTCCTCTGTAGGCGCAGGCGTCCTGTGACTGACCACAGTGACAGCTAAATCCGAAACGATCCAAACGAACACGAAGTGGAGCATTTGGTTGTTTTGCTAGCACATTTTTTACTATACCGCTATCTATGCCATCCCATTGGAGCATGGGTGATAAGGTGCAGTAGTTATATGTCTAACGCCGTTAGATCGAAATATTAGAAAACTCGGCACTGGTATACGCTAGCCCATTGTCAGACACTAGTGTTTCAGGGAGCTCAAATGTCGCGAACGTTGAGCTGTGGTTGTTAAGGCCAAAATGTGGGTTTCAATCCAATTAGCATGGACGTCAACATTCAGTAGAGTCAGTTGACCCTCAAAAGGAGCGGAAACGTCCACAAGGACGCGTTTCCAGGGTGTTTCTGCACTTCCAAGGCTGCAATGCCGAACTGCCACTTGGCGTCCTCCTGTAGCTGACCAGCGATGGACCCAAATTGACCACATAGCCATAAGTTACAGATGGCGTGGTTCCATCCTGGATTGGCGCTCATACTGGAGTACCTGTGTCGACTCTGATCATGCCTTGGTACGCTGTCGTTTCTCCATGAGCTTTACCGGAATGCACACCAAACGTCCCCTACGATTGGCAACGGAGAAATTGTCTCAGTCCTCGGTCAGGCAAGCCTATCAAGAGGCGCCGCGTATCGAACTTCCGCTGTCTTGTCGTAATGACACTGCTTCTGTGGAATAGGATCTCGGCCGCCATGCACGACGCAGGAGCATCTGCTTGTGGCACCATTAATCGTCACCGCACCAGTCACTGGATATCCGAGAGGTCGTTGAACCTGTTGGAATCTAGAAGACACCTCCAGGCTGGCTCTGAACACAATGTAACCAGACAGGCTATTAGGCACGAACTAAAGCGGAGCCCACGTGCGGACAAGGAAGCCTGGTGGACCAGTCGGGCTCAAGAAATGGAGGAGGCAGGAGCAGTCTGCAATTACCGCAAGCTCTTCCAGCTAATCCGCACCACTAGTCCCAGGAAACCGGGGGTCAGCGAGACAATAAGAGACAACGCGGGTGCGCTGATCCACAATAAGGAACGCCGTATGGCTCGTTGGGCGGAACACTTTCAAGATCAGTTCAGCTGGCCCCCTGCTCCCGGACCTCTTTCTACTCAGGTGATGCAGGACGAGCCATATACGGTTAGTTTAGAGCCTCCGTCGGAGGCCGAGGTCCGAAACGCGATCACAGCCCTTAATCGTTTTCGTGCCGCTGGCCCGGATTCCCTCCCACCTGCATTATTTAAGGATGGAGGTGAGGTCCTCTGCAAAGCACTGACCTCCTTATTCGAATGTATCTGGAAGGAAGAGAGTGTTCCGGCTAATTGGAGCGAATCGATTATTGTGGCAATATACAAGAAAGGCAGTCGCACAGACTGTGCGAACCACATGGGTATTAGCCTAACGCCAGTTGTGACAAAACTATTGGCCTCGATTCTTGTTTGTCGCCTCACTGCGGAACGGGAATCTCTGATTAGGGAGGAGCAGGCTGGTTTCCGCCCTGGCCGTGGCTGTATAGACCATATATTCACTTTGCGGCAGGTGCTAGAGCGGCGCCACGCGTACCGCAGACCGACAATAGCTGTGTTCCTTGATTTCAAGAGTGCGTTTGATTCAGTCGATCGATCGATTCTGTTCGAATTACTTACGCGAAAAGGTGTTCCCACGAAATATGTGAACATCCTTCGTGCTCTATAATCGAACACTACAGGCCGCGTCAGGGTCTACGGTGTCCTGTCGGATAGCTTTCCGACCACAAGTGGCGTTCGTCAAGGTTGTCCGATTTACCCATTTCTGTCCAATTTCGTCGTGGATTCTATCATGGAGTGTTCCCTGACGGAATCCAACGATGTAGGCGTTGAAGGGTCGCCTGGTGAAAGATTAGTTGATCTTGATTATACGGACGATATCCTCTTGCTTTTCGACGACGTTGGGGCGGCCCATTCAACCCTGAATAGCCCGTCTAGAGTGGTCCCATTATTTGGTATGCACTTCGCACCTTCATAGTGCAAATTGTTGCTGCAGGACCACCATCCACTTGATGACCCATTGATGCTTGCAAACGAGGAACTCGAGGTGGTTGATCATTTCACTTATCTTGGCAGCTGCATCAGCAATGATGGGCGTATAGAAACTGATGTCAGCTCACGCATTGCAAAGGCCAGAGCTGCCTTCTTGAACCTGCGTCATCTTTGGCGACAGAAGGGAGTTTCCGTTCGTCTGAAAGGGCGGGTATACAAGGCCACAGTGAAGGCCGTTCTGCTCTATGGTAGTGAGACTTGGCCGCTTCGGTCTGATGATCTAAAACGCCTGAACGTTTTTGATCATCGTTGTCTGCGCAGCACCGCTGGAGTCGTATGGCACCAGCGTATCCGCAACGATGATCTGCGTAGGCGAGTACTAGGAAGTGATAATCATGCTAGCTCTCTAGAACAACAGATAGCACTGAATAAGTTGCGTTGGCTCGGGCACGTGCTACGTATGCCTGGTCACCGCTTACCTAGGAGGGCCTTGTTTAGTCTGCCAGGTGTAGGGTGGCGCAAGGCTCGAGGTGGACAGAAGTTGACTTGGCAGCGGCAAATGAAGTCACTGACTGCCAAACTGGGTGCTGATGGTCCGACTCGCCTTCCGGGCTGGAGTCCACGTGACTCGCCTTGTGCTTGGCTCGAGACTTTACTGGACATGGCTCGCAGTAGACAACAGTGGCGCGTCTGCTGCCGTCTCCTAATCGGATTGCCTGTTTAAAGTGTGTTTGGTGCTGAGTTATCTGCGGGGTAGTGGTTGATTATGACGCGTGGCAGTGAAAGCCGCAAGGAAGCTGTCTCGCCGATGCCGCCTTGTCTTTGCACGATAGCCAGCTGTTTGTGACGGTATGTTGTTAACGCAAGGTGTAGGCGCCTTGACCCTGAATGTTTGCTTAGGGCATTAAGGTTTTCAGGTAAGTCCCTCTTCTCTCCCCTCTTCTTATTCTCTATTTCATAGGTCCTCATGGTTGTATGGCAGCGAAGCATCAGTTCAAATGGCTGATGTACTGCTGTTGATGATGATGACTGCCGCATGGGGAGTCGTTTCGGTTTAACTGGTAGGATCTGCAACTTCCAACATACGCTGCAATGTCATCGTCTAATTCGGGCCACCACAAATGAAAGCGGGCTAGTGACTTTATTTTAGTAACTTCTGGATACGCATCATGTAGTTCATTTAGTATACTTAGCCGAACTGTTTTGGGGACTATAACTCGTTCTGGAGGCTGAGCTCAGGCATCCTATTACGGAAAGGCATGAGTTCTTTGGAAATGCTATTTGGCCATCCGACTTGGGCGTAGTGTTTCACCATCGAGAAAACTGGATCTCTATCCGTCATATGACGGATGTCCGTTGACTTGACCGCGGAATCATTAAGATGCTGAACCAAGTTTTCAAGCTCTTGTGGAGTAATCTCCCCCTAGGTATCTCTCTGGTAAAAGAAATCGACCAAGAACATCAGTTGTCTTATTTTGTCGGCCGCGAACGTAAGCGCAAAAAGCGCATTTACATTTATTCTAGAGCAGTGTGACGCTACTTATCTTCTCATGGTGAGAAATTGTATTTTGCAGCGCTTTCCTGACCAAAAAGTTGCTTACCAACCTTTTATCCGAGAATGCTATACTACTACCAAGTGGCATTCCATAACTTGGATTTAATGTCATAATCGGTTTTAATAGTATACCTTAGCTCCCTTTTCGTGGATACTCTGCTGAAACATTGCCACCATGAGCGCTTCTCCATAGTTGCCTGAGACAGTCTACAAGAGAGAGGCATCAGTAGTACGCCGGTACACAGTACCGAAGCTTCGCTATCGCGCAACCACCATCAGTCGCACGTGGGCTAAGAATACTGTTATTGTCTCCCGATTACTCCGCAAGCTCAGACCCGCGCCCCCTCGGATTACAAGGCAGCTTTGTGATCATTATGACTACGTACCCTACACCTGACAATATCACTGTAACTGTTCCTCGTATCCTTCGACTCCCGTGTCACACTCTGGTGTTACGTTGCGCATGCCACTATACTTATGCATTTTTCCATGGCATATGTTTGTGTGAACTCTCTCTTATTTTCGTGCACTAATCTGTTTTTTCTTCTTTTCTCTGACTTAGGTAGTACATGAAATGTCTACTTTGACACCCACCGGGCGCTCGTCTAATTTGGCAAGTACGTGATTAAAATTTTTTTGTTGTTGTATAAATCGGCATCTGATGTACGCTATGTTCCTCACTCGTTTTGATTCTCTTTCTAATTCCGGGGCCACCAAGCCCTTTTTCTTTGTGTATTGCACTCGGTGAATAATCTGGTGTGGATTTGGTGCATTGCCTTTTCGCATCCTCGTAACATGCTAAATCATGTTTGCTCAGTATTTATCCCAGTTGCTTTTGAACTGCTGGATGGTCAGAGTTACAGCTAACTAAGTGTTAATATCTTCCGCATAGGACGTCGATGGCTGTACTCCCTAAATACAGCCGTGATAGGCGTTCATTTAAAAATTTATATGCTCAGTACAAACGCCAGTGCACACTTGTTGATGTTGGTCTCTGCCTGCTATTTTAGACAAACCACACCTCCAGTCCTCAGTACCACCCTCTCTCTGCATTTATTCTCAACCTTGCTGGGGGCATCACCGAAGAGGTTATTACTCTCATCGCTAAGACCTTTGTGAATTTCAAACCGCAGTTTTTTTGTGGAGATGGCTCGGTGTCTGCTTGTGAGGCACAGTATGGCCGCGCAACATGTATGTGCGTCCGGTGCTAGTGTATGGAGCAGAGGCCTAGCCAAAGCGTACTGATGACCCGAAAAGATTGGTCGTGTTACGCGAGTTGCATGTGCATAGCTTCCCTTGTATCTGATGCGGCCACTTAGTGGGTAGTCATGAAATCTACAAGTTGATATCTAACACTAACAGCCCAGTCGCTGTACTACTCCGTCAATTGACTAGGCTGCGTTTTTTTGTAATTCGTGTCCAGCACTTTCGATAGGTGTAGTTTTCCCTATTCCTCTTACGACTTTAATGTAATGGTTGATGGCATGTCGGAAAACAAGGAATCTTGCGGAGAATATTGTCTTGCTATTTAACGATGTTAGTGTGGCACAATCAACCCCGAATTGCCTCACTAGAGTGGTCCCATTATTTGGTTTGCGCTTTGCACCTTCAAAGTGCAAGTGTTGTTATTGGAGGAACCACTTGACGACCCTCCCCCAACTATTGATAGCGAGGAACTCGAGGTAGTTGATCACTTCGCTTATTTTGGCAGCTGCATCAGCAACGATGGGCGCATAAGCATTTTGGTTAGTTCACGTATTGCAAAAGCTAGAACTACCATCTTGAATCTTCGACATCACTTGCGACAGAAAGGCTTTTCCTTCTTCTGAAAGACCATATTTGCAAGGCTACAGTGAAGGCTGTCTTATTCTATGGAAGTGAGACTTCGCCCCTTCGGTCTGAGGGTATTAGGCATCTTCATGTCTTCGAGCATCGCACTCTGCGGAGCATTTCTGGTGTCTGGTGACACCAGCGATGATGTACGTAGGCGAGTGATAGGCAGTGATAGCCACGCTAGTTCCTTTGAACAATAGATAACACTGAATAAGTTGCGTTGGCTTGGGCACGTATGCCAGAGCACCACTTACCTAGGAGGGCCTTGTTTAGTCTGCGAGATATAGTGTGGCGCCAGGCTTGATGTGAACAAAAGTTGACTTGGCACAGGGAAATGAAGGCACTAACTTCGATACTGATTACTATCGCCCCTTTTCGCCATTCTAGCTCGAGTCCACGTCACCCGCCTTGTGCTTGGCTCGAGAAGTTACAACACATGGCTCGCACTCGGCACCAGTGACGCTTCTGCTGTCGTATCCTAGTCGTACTACCTGTTTAATGTGTTTTGTGCTATTATCTGCGGGGTGATGGCTGATTTTGAAGCGTGACAGTGAAAACCCAAAGGAAGCTGTCTCGCCGATACCGTCTTATTTTTACACGATAACTAGCTCATGGTGACGGTATGTTGTTGACATAAGGTGTAGGAGCCTTGACTCTGAATGTTTGTTTCTGGATTGAGTTTTTCCGATAAGTCCCTCTTCTCTCCCTCTTATTATTCCTCCTTCCCTAGGTCGTGATTGTACCGCGCCGAAGCATTAGTTCAAGCGGCTGATATTCTGCTATTGATTATTATTATTATTATTATTATTATTATTATTAATGAAAGCCAAAATACTTCGACGTCCGATTGGAGGATCATTTCGATGTGCTCGTTGTGTGAGTGGATTACGACACGCAATCTCAATGTAGATAGCGATTCCTATTGAAGTGAACCTTGGCCAGTTGGATCACTGATGCTTTGACTGACAAATCATATAGAACATGGGTGTTACCCACTCCAAAATGCTGCATTCAATGACCGGTGTCGAAACTATTTAAGCCATGCATGTACAGATAACATGCCTCGAGCTTGGTAAGAGGGGTTGCTCCTTCTGACCCGGTGGCTGAAGGGATAGAGGTTTCGGCTAACATTCCAATGGTCCTAGATTCGATGCTTGCTGTGTCTATCTGATGAGATCAAACAACTTCCAAATCGATCATGGAGGGCAGTGTTTCCCGGCGGGCAGCACCCACTATCTATCTACTTCATCATTTACGGTCCGAGTAATGGAATTAGCCAAAGTTCACTTCAATGGTTATCACGATCAACATAGAGATTACGCGTCGCAACACATCCACACAACGTGTCCTTCAAAATGACTCTCCCATCAGTCATTAACCGTTGTGCCAAGCGTTATGCATCGTGACCAGGTGTCCGAAAGGATAGATCTTACGGCTAAAGATCCCATGGTCTCGGTTTCATGGCCTTCTATATCCACCTGATGAGATCAAAATCCAAACGTATCGTAGCCGTGCAGTGTCTTCGGGTGCGCTACACCTTGACGTCTATTCCCTGATTTATTAGCACGATTTTATTTGAGAATAGGACGCCTAGGCAACGTTAGCTTCATCACAGCAAATCTACAAACGTCTGCCTAAGCCAAAGTTGAGTCATCATCCTTGCGCACTTCCTGAATTGCAAAGATCATTTAAAAAGGCTTGTATTCCCCCTTAATGAATACTGAATACTGGTTCGAAACAGCGAGTAGAGCTTTCTCAGTGTTGCTGCATCATTCGTCGCTCTTGGACATATTCTCCTTATTTATTGTTCCGCTCTCTATATTTTGCCTCTGCAAAGTGTTTGTCTAGGAGTTCTTAAATTCGGACACTGAGTTCGCCTCTACTATGTGCTGCGGTAGGTCGATCCACACATTCACCACTCTGCGTTCGAAACAGAGTTGGTGAGCGACCCGCTTCAACTTCGGTACGATAAGTTTATACTGGTGTCCTCGCGTGCAGCTTGGTGTGCGCAGATGAAGCGGTTGTCTCAACATGGGGTAATCACTCAGATGTAATATCCGGTGCGTCATGATGAGGTCAACCCTCAGCCGACGATAAGCTAGGGTGTACAGCCCTAGTTTCTTACATCGGTCTTCGTATGGCATACCTCGTAAGTTGGGAATCAGCCTGGTGGCTACATGCTGCACCCGCTCAAGCTTTTCTACTTCGCCCAGGGTGATGGGACAATACGCGGGAGAGCCGTACTCTAGCATTGGTCGTATTATCGAGACGAAGAGGCGAGTAGCAATCTCTTCGGACCAAGTGCTGAAGCTGCGCCTGAGGGCCCAAAGCATCCGAAGGCTGTTTTGGTACAGCCTATTCGTGTTGTCAATGAACTTTAGGTCGCAGCGTGAGAGCACACCGAGGTCGCGCACGAAAGACGCGGGATGCAACGGTTGACCAGCCACTGTGTACGTTCGGCTGTGCTCACACTTACCCAACCTCATAAATTGCGACTTGGCAGGGTTGATCGGAAGGTTAACGTCTGCAGACCATGTCGAGAGGCGGTCGAGGTCCTGCTGAAATAAATCACAATCATTGGGTGTGCGGATTACTTTCAACACCTCATCTGATGCAGATAACGTTGATCAATCTGTAGCTGATAAGGTCTCTCCCCACTCCACCTATTCCAACGGCAATGACATCATTGAGGAAGCTCAAATACTTAGGCCTCCGCACGAAATCTGTGTGGTGGACATGCAAAGCAGTGCAATTTCACTCAACGCGCCATGTTATAGCAAGCCTGCAAAGACTGGTATCGCTCGCATTAGCATGCTTGACACTGATACACGCTCAGAAACATCAAGTGGGTCTGTCGCTATCTCCAGCGAAAGTGCAGCCCACTAGCACAACAACAAGTATTGGTAGCCATGGCCCACGCCCTTAGGGTCTTAGTCCAAACAGTGGCCTTCATGCCGCAAGGGCAACTTTCAATTGCCCAAGGACAGTCGTGAGTGTTAATGTTCCTCCTCAGAATAGCAAGCCAGGATTCTCCAGTGTCCAGACAACGTGCCTTAGCTTCTCTCTGGTTAGGCTTCTAAATAGCTTTGCGGAAGCGCAATCTGCTTACTTGTGGCTCTATCCATGCCCTTTTCCTCCCCTTATTATTTGCGTCGCTGTCTAACTTAATATTTTTCCCTATTTCCCATTGTTTTCCACGAGTGAGTTAATCACCTACGAAATTATACTCATGCAAGGCACATTGCCGCTGATTCACTGACGTAACATGGTACCAATCTCAAAGTAGCCGGATGATGGTACTGGCTTGTGCCCTCTTCGCCCATAACATATGCATAGGAATAGAACAGCTGATGGCTTACTTGCTATTTTGCCACCCCGGCACACCGCCAGTGGGAATACGGGTTAAACTTTACGAGGGAATATTCTACATTGGAAGGATGTCCAATGGTGACCGTTCCAAGTATGGTTGTATTACTTCTCTTGAACATCTGGCTGCATTTGCGATTGTTCGCATTTTTCTCAATCTTTCTAGTACATTCAAGTTGTCAATCATCCAAAAATCCGAACATTTATCTGCTTTGTACGATTCTGCTTACATATTGATCAGAACCTTCGGTTGAGTTGTATCTCGCACCCCCAAGGAATGTACCGTTTGTTTGTTTATCTAAACTGAACTAATCGTCTGCTTCTGGTTTAGCCTCAGTAGTTCTTGCTGGGTATGTTGCCTTTATCTTTTCAAGCTGTTCTATCTTCCGTCTCTTAAGTTGTCTTGTTTTTCTGTCATATTTGTCTAGTCTGTGTTTGGACGCCCGATCTCACAATGATGATTTGTGTGTTCTTAGGACTTACCGTCTTTCCCGTTCAATTATCGAGCGAAAACAGCGTTCTGCTCTTTCTCGGTTGTTTTTTTCTCCATAACAGCCGCTGCCGCTTCCGGTGGTGATGCTTTTCCGCGTTCTGCAAATCACGTGAGTCACTCCGGCAGTGACCTAAATGGTGTCCATTCGAAGGACCCACTTCTGCGATTTTCCAGTCCGCAGAATGTACGCATCTCTTCGGTTGGGCCCTCTGCTGCCGGCCAGCGCGAAAGTGGTTATCATTATTTCACCAACCAAGGTGCAGATGGGGAAAGTCTTCCGCCATCCAGCTCTTCTCCAATCCCTCGAATCGATGCTCAGGCGCCAAAGAATTTGAATTTCCAACGCGCTGCTGCGAGGCTACGTTCTGGTAAGCGCTTGGCAGCGTATTGTACGGCTATGGAGTCTATCGAAGCTAGTGCCAAACCCGTGGAATTGGACAAAGAAGAACTCGATCTTATTCCGTAAGCACTGTTCTCATGTTGCATTTATTGATAATGTACTTTCCTCGAGATCTGTTTCGCGAGTACTGTACATTTGGTGTCCATACGCGAAACGGCTTTTCACGCACAAGCTGACAGTTGTTTTTCCCATATCATGCATCTGATGATTCAGTTCACATATTGTTCACTCATTGCTTTTCTTGGGTGCCTTGGCACAAAACCACATCCATTGCGACATTGCCATCGCCACACGCTTTCTGTTTGTTGTCCTATCTCGAACGCCTCGTTTCACGCCAAATCGTTTTCCCTACAGTTTTCCCGCCTTTCTTCCCCATCGGTAGGAAGCGCGCACCTCATTTACACCATAGAACATCTGACTGTCTGAGTGCTGCTACGCATATTCACAAACGTTTGGGAATTGTTCAAATTCTTCCATAGCTGCAACTGACAGGCTTCAAACGGTTCCCAACTGGACCACCAATACACCTTTCTGAGATTGACCTGCTCTTTATTGTTTTGTTGCTCGGGATATTGAGTTCATGGCGATATTAAATGAAAGGCTTTGGGTATTTATAATATCGGCAGGCATACTGAAGACAGTCTACGCTACTGGATACCGGTGAATATCCGCATGTGTGCGGTTTAACTACGGGTCTCCATCGGTGTACTTAAACACGGTCTGAGGCTAAACGGCTTTTAGTCGTCCCGATGCAAGGCATCACCAGTACGCCGGTACACAGTACCGACGCTTCGCTGCCGCGCAACCACTACCGGTCACACGTGCACTATGGATAATGCGAGGGTCACCCTATCAAAGGCGAACACTACCGTTGGGGGAAAGAAATATCCGAGTATTGTGTCTGTTGTGCGTGTCATGAATTCCCAAGTGTGTCTCCTACCATGTCTTATACATCTGGGAGGCCGTTTTAGTGTCTCTTCAGGCCGAAAAAATAAGCGGTCGACTTATTCATAAATATTCTGTCCACAGCCCTTATACTAGAAGCAATGTTTTCACATCCTCATCTAACCAGACATCCACCGAATTCCATGATGATCTTGACCCGAACTGCCCATCAGCTATTGATGGTGTGGTTCACAGCTGTCGTTCGATTTGGAGTAAGCTCCTGCCTTCCGAATTTGCCCTTACGTGTGCGCGCCCATGGCGCTCACCCGACTCCAGTGCATTTCCCGATTTACGTAATTATCACTATTGATCGGGAGTCGCAATCCTCAACCCTGCTGCCGACCTATCACGATGAACTAATTCAGCACCCATCGCTGAGGAACTAGGTTTGTGGGCTTTGTCAATGGAATCGTCTCGGAATGTGCAGCCCGACAGTGTCCTCTATTTTTCCGACTACATCGTCAATCCTACTTCTGTTTTTCTCTTTCCTTACAACTATCCTCTTCCCCGTCTCACTTCACATTGGATCGTTCAGCGTTCGCACTCTGGGCCAGATCGGACAACAGGCAGCACATATTACCAAGCCCTTGGCTGTGGTTGTGATCTGTCTTCGAGATATGCATACAAACGTCGTGAAAAATGTTCGACTTCCTGGTTCATAATCTGCTACACTCTTCGCGATACTGAGGCAATGGCTCGAGCGCTCCGAGTTCCTCGATGGCCTGGAAAGCAACTTAATCATATTGTCATCAGTCGCAGATGGCGCACATCGGTCCAAGACTGCCAGTCAATTTGGAGAACGTGGCTGGATTCTGATCAGGCTCTAATGCGCGCACGTCTGGCATTCACTCTTCTCACTTCGGAGAAACCCCTAATATCCAAGCTTCTTGCTTGTAACGAATTCGTCGTCTGCAGTTCCACAGTATTATGACGAACTGGCCTACCAATTGTCAGTGACAAATGAGGTTGGTGAACCTAACGCTGATTGGAATGCGACCAAGTGTCTTATGAAGCGTGCTTTTGACGCTAACTTGAAACGTCCGAACTGTTTTCAGACCTCTTAGGCATTGACTAGTTTTATCTAAGCACAGAAACAGTTTTAATGGGTACTGGGTTTCAGCGTGTGTGTAACGTGTGGAAAAGATGACTAGTAAGAAGTGGTATAGTTGATCGGGAATGTTGGTGGGTGACAAGAGACCAAGAGATGGAGAAAGCCGGTGTTATTAGGAACAGCCGATTTACTGTCCCACCTGATTCGAGATCTCGTTCCAACTACCCTCAGTTCGAGAGACAATATCTGAGAATGATGGACAGTTGATCGATTCTCGGTTGCATCCACAGATGAGCTGAGAGGACCATCTTGAATAACAGTTCAGCAGGCGTACTGCGGCACTGCCATCTGCTGAATCATCAGACCGACGTGGGAAGTTGATGCCACGTCTACCGTGGCATCGCCGTGTTGAAACGAAACAAGGCTCCTGGCCCCCGCGAACATTCTAGATGTTCGCTCAAAGATGGGGGTTATGCTTTGTTGACTTGTCTTTCTGTGGTATCCAACACGATTCGGCATACTGAAGAGGTGTCTTCAGATAGTCGACTGCCAACTATCGCGCCCATCATCAAATATGGTAAACGGGATGTGCAAAAATTGTCGAAGTATTTGGCTTATTTCCGTTGCTTCAAAACGTTTCACATGCATCGCTCTTCGAAGACTTGCTAGTCCTTGTGAATGTCACACTGGCTTCCATTTCGGTCGTGTCAACGTCGACCACATGGTTACTCTACGTCTAGTGTTACAGCATTGACACACTTACGGATGGCCGACTTTGGTGGTTTTCCTAGACCTGTTAGTCGTCTTCAACGACTATCGGTATTCGCTCTTTGGCATATGTTTCGCATCTTCCAATTGTATGATTCCGTTGCACCACTGGTCCGCCACGTCCCTGATTCTAGTCATAACTGGACGATCGCTGGAGGTGTTCGATCGACTTACCTGCCCTATTGTTTCTATCGTTTTTGGTATCCGCGCCACTGCGAAGTTTAGGGCGTATATCGTCGAAGCTCTGTGGCATTTCAGAGTCCTGGCCATCTATGGAGAAACCTGGTGTTACTTTGTAAGTTACGCATATGGTACTTTGCTTGCGAAGTTATTCTCCCACGACTGGGTGAACAGTACTGAAGTCCTCTAGTTGCTGTTTGGCAAAAAAATACCTGTTACTTCACAGGTATATGTGCTTCACCTGAACCGCTTTTTGTGAACTATGTCATATCCTCCTTATGCTAGCTGCTTGCCTTCCTTGACGTGCACCATATACTGTCGTTGCGCCGAGTTGAGCGAAACTGCATGCTCGCCGGTTGATAACTTAGGAAGAGGTATGGTGTAAGCGCTTGAGAAACGTCGTGGTCTGGTTGACACGCGCATCACCATGGATAGGGGGGGACCTTCAGCGGTGACACACATTGGCTGGTGACCTGATCTGGTCGCATAGTCAGTGGCACTGTTGCAGTCAGAGTGTTGTGTGAAGCTATTGACGTTTCATCTTTATCAAATTGTGTTCACTTTTTCCTCTCTTTAGTGTTATGGTTGTACTCCGTCCCATTTTCTTCACTATTGTTTTCCGGGGGATTTTAGTCCTTTTGATTGAATCCACCGCACCTCGGTGCACAGGTCACAGGTGTTTCTCTTGATTTTGCCGGGACTAGTTATACTTTTCACAGTTGACAACAGCACTTGCCAAAGAATGCCCTTTTCTTAAGCTTTTTGAAACAGGCTCTTTCATCTTTCTACTGTGTCTGTTTTAGCTGTGTTGTGTTGACTAGGTTGCGCATTTGTACTCTGCATCAACCATTCATTCTCCGATGTGCATTGGTTTCAAATATGTTTCTGCTAAGAGACAACAATACATAATACTGTCTAATAACGTGGCCAATAATTTTGAGGAAGTTGGCGGTTTAACTTGCTCTTAGTTACATAACATTTAATGACACGGGGTCAGTCGAGACGAGGTTCTCGTGTTTGGTATCTCCGTACTCTCCCCCCTTTTCTTTCAAATGCCAACACCCCTTTCTGACCACTTTCGATTTTATTTATGTTTACTTTGCTCTAATCCCCATCTTCCGCTGTTATTTGAACGGCGACGCAGAGCATCCTAACTGAACTCATTGCACTTCGACACTGAAACCACTAATTGTATTGGACAGACTTGACTATGACGTCTTTCATATGCGGTCACTGAGATTTCGCTTCAACATCAACGCATCTTGTTTCGTCATTCTCTCTTCTTTTTGGCAATGTTGTTTTCATCATATCACTTATTTTCTTTATTGTCTTGCACATAATCACTCAATAAATCGGAATACTTGTATCTCGGGTTGACTGGTCTGTTTTTCGTTTGTTCTCCGAGCTGAGCAATTGTGCTGCAGACGTTTCTTTTCGAAAACCGGACCGATCACTCGATGTTCACGCGTTTAAGTTCTCCTTTCACTCATGTTCATCAGTGTTTCGGACAAGCAGGCAGAGGATCCACGGACAGTGATCTGGAATTTGAAGTCCATGTTCACTGTTCTATATTATGGGGCGTCAGTCTACCTGAGTCAAACTACACCGCTTCTCTACTCGCTGCTAGCTGTCTAAGTAACCGCGATCGTGCTCTTTGTCGGTGAAAAACAACCACTGGTCTACTGACCGCCTTTCAGCCCACGCGCTACTGCCCCCTCTTGGCCGATGCCGTTGTCCTTTATTCACAGGTTTCCTGCTGATTGAACGAACATTCCAACTGTGCGTATTGCTTAATCACCGAACTATCCGGGGTACCTAGGCTTCAGCTATGTCGGTGCACTGGTCTCGTCTCTCTATCAATGTACCTGAAATGTTTCGAATATGTCTCTTTCGATGCAACCCAAGCCTTCCGCTCGATGTGTGCAACCACACCATCGGCAACACCAACGCTTTTCCTGGAGACTATGACATCATCTCCATATCCCTTTACTATGCTGCTGCATAGTTGTCGTGTAGCCCTCCGGGAAGCAAGAAGACTGGGCCGCGATCATGAAGTCCTTTATTAAGATTACGCTCGCATATTTATAGAGTATATATACTATTTACAACAGTCCGTCTCAATGGCTCATCCCTGTTATTTGCATTGTGTCGCTGGCTCCCTTTCCATTGGTTTATGCTTGCTCGCCACATTCACTCTGTCTGTAGTCACCTTGACTTTCTTAGTGGATGTACAATTGACGAGATTGGGGCTATGCGCTTCTTCCCTCGGTCCATTGCCACAAGCCTTTGCTCAAGGGTGCACGAGTATGCGCTCCTTCGCCTGCTGGCGCCTGATTGGTCACTTACACGTTCAGTGAATGCTTGTAGGCTGGATGCGATTACGGTCCAACTATTTCCGGATTCGCTGACCAATCTGCTTCCGGCAACATGCTCACTCTCTATCGGTCTGGCCTGTGACGTTCGGTCGGCATTACCGCATTTCCGATCACCAGCATCTCCAACCCCCATCACAATACTGTCGACAGGTGGCTGGGTCTTATGCAAGTCTGGCTTGAAATCATAAGGTCACCGGTTCGAATACGCGTAGGGGCGGGTGTCCTCGCAGTGTACTCAGCGCACGCACGACTGGTGGTGGTCACACTGCAGCGAAGCGCCGTTACGGCATACAATTGATATATATATATATATATATATATATATATATATATATATATATATATATATATATATACGATAGCTAGTCCATTTTCTCCATCCCCATCACATTTTTTTCGGCTTCATTATCCCACATCGGCTTTTTTCCTTTTCCATAACGCATGGGCAGTTTATATAATTGTAGTAACCATTATTATCCCTTTACGTGTCGCTATCTACCTCGTATTCCCTCATGTGCTTATACGCTTTTAGTTTCCAAATCTATTGTCTATTGCTACTTCATCCGTCTACTTTCGATTCCCCTTCTCAGCTCCGGTGGTATTCCTGCTCGCAACAGTTCTGGAGACCGTTTGCTCCTGTTTGTCGGTGTCATTGACATACTTCAAAGTTACCGGTTAATAAAGAGGTTAGAGCACGGCTTTAAAACCCTCGCTATTGATGGGGTGAGTTTCTTGTTGTTCAGCTGAATTGCGTCATGCTGCTCCCCTGTATTTTGGCTCATTCATATCCGCGATTTTGCAATCTTTGTTCGTTATGGTACCGCCACGGATTGTGGTTTCAAACACTTAGATGTTCACTTTCCATGCGAATGCATTTGAATCACACTTTTTTCTCACTCACTTTTCCCTGTGGTTTATGCATTCTACATCGGTTCGGCATCATTATTAATGATCTTTGCCCTAGTGATACGGTGGGTGCGAGCTTAATCCACCGCACCCCGGCGCAGGGATATCAGTTTCGTCGACATCAATCCGATCCGCCTTTCGGCATACTAATCGATTGGAAAAATAGCTTCCGAACAGTATGTTCGATGACCGCATCTTGAAGATGGAAGCGGCCTACGTCTTAGTGGTCTGGTAATGCAAAACGAGTCGGTTGGTACATTTGGAAAGACGTAAATTTACGGATGATGCGTTAAAGCTATGGTGTGCGGCCAGAGTGTCTTTACTCACAAATGGTAGATGCTGACTGCCCGCAGCACGGCACACGATGATGGCCTTCATACTCATCTACACTCATCGGGTAAGCATAGCACGACTACGACTTGAACCCGGGGAAATTGGAGATGTCCGCCGAAACCTCTGCGTCTAAGCCACCGCGGTAGCTTTGCTTTGTAGTGGGTCGCGGTTCATGAACATATAATTTCCACAAATTCATGCTTGTTCACCGCTTTTATTTTGCTGCCCAACGACCACGGTGGTGCGTTATCCCGACTGTCCCCAACCACTAAGCATTCTTCTATGACCCTCTTGCAAAATAATTTCACCGCTGATTTAAATTCCGTAACCATTACTGGGTGCTGGTTCGTGCTGTATCAAGCGGTTTGCAATTTAAGTGAGATAGAGCAGCAGATGCGATTGTTCACGAGGAACAAAAGAGCATTTTTACGGTCATTGTGACCACTGAAGATGGAGTTTCCCGCATCGAGGATGGGCAAATTTCCAACTACAACATCCCGCAAAAGCAAGGTGCTGCTTTCGATTGCTGCTTCGATTGGGGAAATGTGTAGGAAGAGTAATGGAACCATCTACACCGCTCCGGAGCAGCTAACCAATAGGTATGTCCGAGTTGTGGCGGTGACGGAAACGCAGAACTATGCCTCAAGTTTATAACTGCTAACGTCCCTGGCCCTTGGGAAATCATCAGAGTAAGGTTGGATGACACCGTTGTGTTAATTTGGGACACCTTGTGACAGTTTGTCAAGTAGTAGAAGATTCATCTAATCCAAAGGTAATTACAAGCTGCAATGCGCGTAGAAGTTTTGAGCACAGTGTTTCCACCAGGCTCATAACAACAAGACGAAACTCGATAAGGGTACTGAACAGTTGCGCTTTTAGCACAATACCATATAAAAAAATTTCAACGCTCCGAAAAACCAACAAATACGGCTTCAAGTGAAACACATATACAAACTAGTGGCTTTTTACAGAGGAGTAATAGAAGGAGTTGTATGGTATAGGTAGGAATTCAGCACATCTAGACTCAGACAGTTAACATACACACAGAAAAACATTACGCGGCCGTTCCGTCCTTTCGGGAATCGTCAACAGTGCGTATTTAGCTGACCCTTGTAGAGCGCGAATCCGCAACCCGACGATTAGTTGAGATCACTGAGTTACGGGGGACGGCAACGACCATCAACACAAACTTAATAGATGCGATATAGCGACGCTCACTGTCCACCGACTTGCACTTTACTGCCACGCGGAGAATAGGGTAGCCTCCTCACCAAGCGAAGAACTTCATAAATTCAAGCCGCTATTTAATTTACGTGATTATAAACAGTTTCATCTACGTACCGACGGCGAAGGAGTCAAATAATGTGAGATAGTGAGCTGCGCTCTAGCAATCTAATAACCTAATCGTAGTGCTCATTACCGTCACCCGTAGCTCAGCACTCTTAACCACAGACTAGCAACAATTGTGCTGCGAGTTCGAGCTCTACAGGGGTCAGATGCAACGCGTAGTGCTGACGGTTCCCGACAGGACGAAACTGCCGTACCGTGCTTTTCCATGCTTGTGCTGGCCGTCTGACTGAGTCTAGATGTGATGAATTTCTATTTATACGCCGTGTTTCTCGATGTTTCGTTGGTAACTACCAGTCATTCTATCGGTTTCGCATATTTACAAATAACCCTTGTGCTGTGAAATTTTTGTGCGCGGTTAAATCCGCTGGTATGCAGGGCTCCAGTATAATTTGAGCTCCTTTGCGATGAGGAGTTTTGGTTAGCAGCTTAACGATATCGTTGTACCTGTTACAACAATCGACGTTGGCTATCGCACAAGCTGAAGAACCTGGGAAAGTGTTACTTTTTGTCCCCGGCAGGGAAAAGGGATTTGGTTTGAGGGTAGTCGTCCTCTGGAGTATCGGGATTTTCTCAACAGCACACCTGCTCGAAGTTGGCTTACTCTGATGCGAAATTCGGAGAAAATCCTATCGGGATTTCTTACTCTGGCGTCGTAATTACCCCATGAAGCAAGGGTCCGTCCACAGATCGTTGCAATAAGTCCTTCAACGCTTTCTTCGCTTCCTTTTCGTTAAAGCTGGTTTGATTCCCATTGATCACGGCTTTCTTAGCGAGGCACTGGATGGTAGCCGCTGTAGGTTTCCCTATCGCCTCGCTGATAATTGTGTGTGAGTGAAAGATGGCGTTCTGGGCGGTCCTTCCGAAACGATGAAATCATACTTAAAAAGCATTCTAGACGAGACTGGACCTTACCGCGGTGAATTGGTTTGCGTACCCCCGTGACCCATTAAGTTACGCGGGGTGGCACTTTTTAAGTGCCTTTAGTGCCACTCATACCAGACAGGTCAATGTTTAGGAGTCAGACCAACCGAATCTCACAATCCAGTATTCTTCAGAGATTAGGGAGAGGTCGATCTCCCTCTTCCTTTAAAACCTAGCTATGAGAGATAACAGGTCTACGGGTTATAAGCTCACAGCCCGATTGGCCTAGAGCACGAGCGCCACGCATTGTTTCTGATGATGAGAGAGCACCTTCCGATGTTCAATGGTCTGCTACCGCCCGTCTTAAGCCAAGCAGCCCCTAGTCAAATTGGTGCAAACCTACCAACTTCTACCTGCGGCTGGCCGTGGCTACATGTGTGTAACGTAATGCGGTCGTAGAACACGTGTGCATTGTGCTAACTCTTCAAAGGCTATCTGTGATAGGCCTCAAGCAGATCCCAGTGGGTCTCTGCAATCACATTCCCGAGCTGAAATTTCTTCCCACAGCCTTGTGCACCAGGCTATTGAGCCAAAGGCTCCGAGTGGAGTCCTATAAACGAACCTCCATGTACCCTATTGCCTTTTGGGTCAGTCTGTTGAGTCAAAGCCTAGCGGCAGGGCACTTCGAACAAAACCCCTCTCTCGGAATGGGCAACCAAAGGGTATCATCTGCCCTCTCGACCACGTCGACAGTTTCCCTCTACTTCTTCTTATTTTTCCCTCCCGTCTCAACTCTCTTCCCCGTCTATTGAGCAAGAATCTGCGGTTGACCTGGCCGCAGTTGCTGCCATCAATACTCGTTACTCATCCATCAAACCATAAGTCTCATTTCACATTACTTCTTTTAACGTTCGCACTTTGGGGGTCAGATCGGTCAACAAGCAACACTCACTGGCTGTTCATTCTCTTGTTATTGATGTGTACTGTGTCTCTGCAACACGCATACAAGATAACAGCGTTGTGACGCATCTTCGACCCCCTGGTTCTGAATCCGACGACAATGATTACACTCTTCGCATCACTGGTTATACTGAGTCAATGGCTCAGGGTATTTACGGTGTTGGTATCGCCCTCGGCAGACATGCTGAAGACAATTCACTCGACTGGATACAGACGAACAGCCGCACTTTTGCGGTCCAACTTCGAACTATATTGGGGTTAATAAGCACCATATAAAGACAAGATGCCTTTTCATTGCTGTTTATGCTCCTACTGACTGCCGTTTGATGGGTATCATAGCTGATTTCTACTACCCTCTTTCATCCCTTCTTCGCATGACGAAGAATACCGATAACGAGATTGTTGCCGCTGACTTTGATGCCTAATTGGATCATCTTTCAGATTCCGAACAGCATCTGGAAGCGCGCTTCGGAGTCGATCCACGCCGAACAAACATTGGTGATCGATTCCTGCAACTTTGTGCTGACCACAATCTTCATATTGGCAGCAATGCTTTCCAGCACAAACCTTCAAACCGCGTTATCTGGTGCCCACCGAATTCCTTAATGCCCTGGACCCAAAGTAACCATTTTGCCATCAGCTACAGGCATCGCTCATCAGTCTAAGGCTGTCGGTCACTTTAGGGTACATGGCTGGATCCCGACCATTCTCTAGTGCGCACACGCCCGAAACTCACTTCCCTCTTCAATGAAGTACCTATACTCTAGTCTTCTTCCCAGTAACTTGAATTCGCAGTCTGCAGTTCAACAATATCATAACGAACTGGCTAATCAAATGTCAGTGATGAATGAGGTTGTTGAGCCGAACGCTGACTGGGATCGTCTCAAGTGTGCCATGAAAAATGCATTTACCTTTGCTGCGCGCCAAACTTGAAATGTCGTAACTATGAATGGATCTCTGAATCTTCGGTCAGTTTGATGGAAGCTCGTAAACGGGTTCCGATGGGCACTGAGTTTCAACATGTCCGTAACTCCCTAAAACGACGCTTGATGATGAGTCCTGGAGTGGGCCAGGGACGTTGGTCGGTTGCAAAGGCCCGTGAGATTGCGAAAGCCAGTGCTGTTGGAAATGGTCGAGTGCTATTCCAGCTCATACGGAACACGGGTGCGAAAATGTCATCCGTTAGCGAGTCAATAGCTGAGAAAGATGGACTTGTTATCTATTCTTAATGTCGTCGACTAGCCCCGCTGGGCGGAACATTTTGCAAAGCAGTTCAACAGGTTCTCTGCGACACTGCTGCTTTCGAATCACCT